CACTTCTGCCACAAACTTTAAACCTTCCTATTGTTTCATACTACAAAGAGGAGCAGAGATCATGTCTCCATCTCTTCTTTTTTTTAGGAGCGGGGTGGGGGGGGAGGAGTGGAGGAAGGGACGAAGAACAGATTCTATTGCAGGAAAGTCTGTAGATTCATATGGATGGTAGAGCTTAACCAAAATGCCAGAGATTTCAACTAAGTACTTTGAGCAGTATTTTTATTAGGCTTGTGTTGAGGACGCTAACTCTGCACAGACACTCCAGCCTGCATTTAGTGATCAACTCCTTACTAGTAACCACTGCAACATGATCTATTTACTCATTCTGATTTACAAGCAGAAGACAATGCTGAGTTGTAGTTTTGCTCACTTTGAATTTCTGCATAGGAGAAACTCCAGCTTCAGACTCCAATGTATTTAAGATGGATGATAGTACTTTAAGGTGACAGCTGAGGGCACTGTGCTGTAATATGCAATTTATGTCTCTAATCTGTTCTTAAGGCATTAGAAACTAATGGAGAAATCATAAAATATATACTAGTACTTCCACCATTTGAAAGCATTTTATCAAGTATCACAGACAGCACCAAAAGTAACATGAAACTGGCATAATTTGGACACCTGACTGAAAGAGGCAGAGCTTCTATAAATCAACTATTTACATGCCTCAATCTTCACACTACTCAAGCTTCTTTTGACTACAGTAGGACTAAGGACTGTGCACAATAAAAAACACCCTAAAAGGTGGTATTATTTTATTAGGCTTGTGATTTAAGGAATATTTTTAATAGAAATAAAGCAGAATTATGTTACAAACTAGCTGCTCAGCAACTTGCCCGTTCATGGGATTTTCTCCCATATACTGGAGACACCCAAGACAAATCCCTATTGACTTACATGGGGGTTTGTCTGAGCAGACAGCAACATGGAGCCTGTAATGTGTACATGCACTTGCCAGTGCAAGGAACCATGTATTTATTTCCTCAGACAGCAGGAGCCAAATGAATCTAATGAATGCCATTTTATCTGATGCTTCTACTGTTTATAATAATAAACCTACTTCATTCCTGCAATTTCTGTAGCAGCTGACCAAAGACTATGTCTCCAAAAAAGAAAACATTAAAGTGTTACAAACCATGGCTATTTCTTCTCTCTCTACTAGACACGGTCTCTGAGTTCAGAAAATTACATTCAAGATGCTGTTCTGTGGATTAGAATTGTCGCTACCTGATTCTTGAAGGACACAGCCATGCCTAACTGTAGGTGCAGCCACTTCATTAAGTTATGGTCTCTGCTTCTTGTGTTTTAAGTATTTAAACCTTCAGAGAGTCAAAGAACGGTTTAGAAAAATACACCCTGTAACAAATAATGCACATCTACAGAGGTGACAGCAGCCATTTTGATACATCTGATTTTGAGCAAAACCAGAGGTTTATTTCAGTTTCTGGACCACAGAATCTGGAGAACAGTTCTCCTGAATTTACCCAATTTTTACAACCTATGTATGTAATACTGGACAACTAACCTAGAAATCCAAAAATTTTAGGACCAATCACAGAGTTTGAAGATTGATGACACAGATTCAGATAGATCTGTTGAAACATGGAAAAAAAAGTGAAACGTAATCTCCTATAGCACAGTCTGCGTCTGTAGACTGCTCCACAACTGATCCACCTTACTCTTTTCTTCAAAGATCTAATGTAGTCTTTTTTTCTATGGAAACAGATAAACCTAGAATCCAGAGAACTACAAAAATCAGACAGCTTCCCATGCAAAGGAGTGAGACTTTTGGTTAACTAGTCATGAGACTTCCTGCCAGCTGATGCCAGTAGATGCTTTAGGAGGACCAACACAACATGAAGACTATTCCTGTCCTTTTTTTTTTTTCTTTTTTTTTCTGTAGTTTAACAGGACATCAGGGTTACCTTAGGCATGTCCACAGTTGCTTGGAGTTTAACATACAAGCCAAAATATTAATATTACAGAGGTGGCTATGAGATTTTCATTCTGCTGCTTCTCTGATTTGGAGAGGTGGAAAAAAGAATGTGCAGGAACCAGCCACCTGTGCTCTTACCTGGCTGCTATGTAAAACTTAACCCATAAGAGTTCAACATAAGAATGAATTCAGGATAGTAAGGAAGCTGAACTATGGAATCTCATAAGCACAGAGATCATGCTCAAGTTCTTACAGCATCTCATGTTTGACAAATACAGCACATACAGACAAACATAAACCTCTGTAATTGGGCTGCAGAACTCAGAACCATCCCAGTTTCATTAAGGAAATAAAACAATAAATGACGAACGGGTAATAAAAATAAACAAGCATTTAGTAAAATTACGCTGTGTCCTAAACTGTTGCCAGCTCTTCTTGAGCAGTAGCAGTCCTGTCGCTGTGTTACAGCAGGGACAATTTGTAAGTTCGCACTGACTGCGCCCTTTCAGCCAGGCTGAGTCACTCTTGCTCATCAGACAGAAACGACTTTACACCCTGTAACGTTTCAGCCCTGATCTTCACCTGCGTTTCCTTTCTCTTAAGCCTATTTTTTGCCTCCTACCTGCTTCTGATGGTGGTACTGCTCTCCCAGCAGGCTTTGTACGCCGCTCCCAATGTGACTGGCATGTTATTAATGAAGAGGTGGCTGGTGTCTCTCATTACGCTTCCACTGAGTGAAAGCACCTCAGAACTAATTTAGCTTTCACTCGCAGGGGAAGACACAGTACTCCACCAAGAAGTTCACTATTCTGCTGCCTTTAGCAATAAAATCCCCTTCTTTTTTTGTTTTAACATTAATAAGGTGAGAGAATAGAGTATTTCCAAAAGAAATTAAGAAATGCAGAAGATAGATGCAAGTGCAGAGGCTCCCTACGAGTAACCACCGAGCCCAATTCGAAGAGATAACGCACATACTGAAACAGATGTGCAGGGCGGAGAGGAGCTCCACAGGCAAACAAGCAGTAATAAAGCCCGTGCCTAGTGCTCAGAGTTAACCAGGTCTCTCAACCATTTAAACTTTCTTCCCTGTTTGTGAGAGTTCTCTGTGGCAACAAATGCAAAACTCCTGTGAAATTAAGGAGTATGGAAATAATTTTGCTCCCCAGGCTGAGAAGGTCAAATAGATTCAGAAAGTACTTCATATCCATCACTGTAAGAATAGAAACCTAATTAGAGACCAGACTTCACTGGCTAAAAGAGATCAAACTCACTTAAAGCTATCATCTGAAACATATTTTTAAAATACTTTCCCTTGATTATTAATTCATTTACTTATGCCGCATAGAGGGAGAGTCATTCACTCGACACAGCTCTGCAGTTGCTCATTCTCTGAAATAAACCATCTCCTGACTTCCAATCACATTGTGTTTGCAAGCAACACTGTTTGTTCCACTTTCTCCTTTTTCTATTTCTATCTCCTACTTCTCTATTCAACACTCTTTAAATCTGGATATTTTATATGTTACATTCTTATACTTCACTTTAATAATTTACGTTTTATGCTTACAATTTTACTCAAGGGGCAGAGGTAATACAGTGAATTTCCAGAACCACAAGATGACAGCCCACTCGTGAAACCAGTGGGCTACATGCAATGATACTGACAGGGACTCCTCTACCACAGGATCACAGCCATCAAAAAAGGGGATCAAGCAAGATTTCTCTTGCTGCATGCATTTAAAGATTTTCCAGCTACATGCCAATTAAATAGTGTAGTGGAATTGTCAGTTAATCAATACCTAGATGGATTTGGATCAATGTCAAACCTCATTTAAGGACCAACACATGTTCGCCTTACATACAAGGGAAAACCTTGCTGATCTAATGGGCATTTTCTTATTCTTTTATATTTGAATAAATTTAATGCTCAGGAAAGAGTACAAAAGAATAATAAGTAACTTAATTTGAGCAGGCATACTTTAAACCTTCTGCGCCACTGCTGCAACAAAGGGAGTGAACGTTTCTTAATGAGCAAGAATAGAACGAGGATGAAATTAAATGTACTTTACCTTTCACTTTACCCTTCATTTGAACAACTGCAAGAGTAAGTTTATAAGTCCAATTATTTTGCAGTAATATTTTTGTTAGTATTTACCTCAGGCTCATATATTCTCTATTTCTTACTCTGTACTAAACACTAAACATAAAAAACAAACAGAATTAGATCACTACTCCTCATGCTAGTGATAGATGCTGAGTAGGCAATCACAGAACGCTTAGAGTTGGAAGGGAACTTAAGGATCAACTAGTTCCACCTCCCACTAGACCAGGTTGCTCAAAGCCCCATCCGACCTGGCCTTGAACACTTCCATGATGAATCCAAACAATTTTTTTTTCTAACCTAAAATTATCTGCTTACAGAAAATTAATGAAATTTGCTTTGGAAGGAAAAAAAAAGAGAAAAAAGAGAAAAAGTCAGAAAGCAGCTACACAATCAGATTTTTTTTTGCATTTTAAAAACAATGTTATAGTTTTGTCATTGTTACTACCTCTAAATGTACCGATTCCTCTATCATGCCATTATTTCTAGAAAGTATTGTTGTTATACAAACTGCTATGGAGATTTTGGCCACATTATTTACTTGTGACATTAAAGTTCAAAATTTGATTCTGAATTAGCTAGTTTTGGCTTGCTCAGCTCTGTGTCCGTAGATGTATGTACATACATATATGCCCACATAAACAAACCCCAAACCATAGCTATTAGTACTTTGAATGCAAGCTACACCGAGATGTCTCGCTATCATTTCAAAAGGCTTCCTACTGTCACACTGAAATGCCCAGATAGGTCGACTGCTGTGAAATATGTAGGCAATGCCTGCTGACTGGGTTTCAGATGACGAGGAGCATTTGAAAGCATCAAAGATTCCTGTGTGCATGCGTGTACATTAATCCCTCCCTTTGCAATACCTAGACTTGACTACTGTAACATGTTGCTTAATAGATTGCAAAACTCTGTTCCTCACAGACTGAGCCTATTCAGAAATGTCAGTGCACCCACCAGTCTTCTTGCTGGTTTTAGGTATTCTAAACTTAACATGATGGTTGCTGAGAGATTGCATTGTTTGAAGGCTGAGTTTACATCTTTCTTTCAATTTGTTGTCTTCTCATTTTCACCACTGGTGGGACTAGAACTGAAGCGCTAAATGCTTCTCACATAGGAAACCTGTAAAAAAGAAAGGGTAGGGCTTTGGATAAAGAGCCTCGTTTTCAAAGCTTCTTGAAAACATCGTTCAACTTATCTTTGCTTTAATAAGAAGCAATAATCTGTTCTTAAAAATTCATAGCCCCCACATTGCCCTAAACAGAGGAAAGACGCTGGGAGAGTTGTTTTGGTCGTGGTGAAATATACAGTAGAAAAGCTCAGTAACGATAGTGAAGAAAGACACTAAGCACCCAGATTTCCAGTAACAGTTTTTCAAAGCAGTAGCTAGAGTTGTCATTATTCAGTTCCACTTGGTGTTTTCAGCTTCATTCTTCATTACGGCATTTCAACAAGTGCTGTAAAGTCAAGTATGTGCGTATCCACCTCACGGAGCTTGCTGCTTTCAGTTCACAAGGGAAGACATTTGCAGGCTGAGCAGAGGAGCACAAAGAGGGCAGCCACAGAAAACCTAAACTGTGCTTCACTCTGAATGATGAGTAGCTCCCAGTTGCCAGGATGTGCTGCATACTTCTACAGCCCCTTTCTGAAACAAGAGGTTGTCTGAAACAATGCGTTCAAATCTCACTTAATATGTAGAAATGAGATCTGTGACAGCTGGAAAGCCAGCACTTACACAATACAGCCAGTGCTGTGCTGGCTCACCATACAGCCTCCCACACTACTGAGGGGGGTCACATTGAAGAAAGTATCTTTAATATCTCAAATAAACTAAAAAAAACCAAGCACAATTTAATTAAATAAGCATTCAAAGTTAATTTTTTAGCATTACAAAGTATCTTTATGGTTTTGCTGAAAAAGAATATATGATTTCATGAGGGGCTGCAGGTCTGTCTTTTCTGCACACACAAAAGGGAGGGAGAGTTTGTAAACAGCTTGTAGCACTTGCCTGCGCTGTTCTGGGCTCATTTAAGTTGCTACCAAATATACCCAGATTCTATGTATATTTTCATATCTTCTTCAGGACTTCTAGTGCAGCTCTCACAAAGACCAGTCACTGCCCTCTTTATTTGAGAATCACTTCTAGCTCTGCTTTAAATCCCTTCTGGTCCTTCCATATAGTCAGCATAATAATTTACCACTGACAGGACTTGCCAAACTTCCCCTACATCTATTTCTATTTCCCTTCATTTTTCTTGCTCCCTTCATTTTTTGCCTGTGTATGCTGACTCCCTAGTTCCTCTTCTACTAAATTATGCTCTATTATTTCCACAGCCTGAAGAACTCACAGCTGAAGCATTATTTCTAACCTTATTTTGTATTCCTAGCATGTCCTATAATCTGTTTTGAGTGTTATTTGCAGCCAAGATGCTGACACAGCATCAATTTTGTTTTCATGGTTTGACTGGGTAGAAGTGTGCCTTACTACAGGCACTGGGATAAAACCAGTCAGCTCTCTAACACCAACACAAACACATTTAGAACGAACCTTATTTTTTCCAGGTTGCGTGTTACTGTTTCTAAGTGGTAACTGCAAAGCCTCAGCCCATCTTGGAAAGAAAGGGAAAAAAACGATAAATCGAAATGGTATTTCTGTTGCGTATTCTTTCCTCCTTTCCATATTTTAATATGTCAGTTCTTTCCCAGCAAATAAACATTCACACCTGAGTCACAACAAAAGCTACTGTAGGGCACCAGGTTGACAGGATCCCAAAAAGCTTTTCTGACCTTTATAAAAAAATAAATATCTGCTTTCCTTTCATCAGAGATCACTAATACCTAAAGCGACTCATTTATACTAGAGTTCCTTGTTATGTGTCCTTAAATACCCGAGGTATCCACACTTCTGTCTTTAACCCACATAGTTACCCTCGTTTTATGTGAAACCATGCTTTATGAATACACTTAAATCTAAAATCCCGTATCCAAGCCTTTCTGAAGCTTTAGGGGAGGTCTGGAATGCGAACCACAATCCCATTTTATAATAAAAGCCCTTTAACAGCCAAACCAACCTCTTTAACACTTTGAAGAAAGCCAGTAAGGACAGTGAAATATTAACTACTCTAGCTTTGATAAGCTAAACTCTCCATTTACTATGAAAGTCTAAGGAAGTTATTATGAAACTAATTTTTATACTTTACTTTTGACACTGCTTTGTGAGTTAGTAATAAAAATGATTGCTAAATCATCACACTTATTTTATTTGATGTATAGATTGCAAAAATAAAGTCATTGCCAATCATGCAAATTCACTGTATTAGAAAAACAGCCATGAAGAAAGGTATTCTTACTATAGCTTGTAAATAAGCATCATCTAAGCTGGCATTAGCATTTATAATTAAGAAAAAAGAAACAAAATTACAGAGGAGCCAAAAACCTGAATAACTATAGGGTTTAACACACGGCAATACAGCCTATGTCTAAAGATGTATCACTTTCAAAACAATTAGCTAATAATGGTATTGGAAAGCCAAGTTTACCTTGAGAATGAGATAACCGTGGGATGCACATCACCACCACCTCAAAGGAAAAGGTTTTTTTCCTCTCTCTTTTTTTTTTTTTTTCCTCCCCTCTTTTTAAACCAGAGAGGAGCTTACACAAATACCAAAGAATAAAGTTAGAATTCCTAGCTCCCTGACTTCTCAGCCTGGCATGGTTAAAGAGAGGACACTAAAAGACAAAGAAGTGCTACAGATCTCCGTAGAGTGATTTAGTTGTTCTGTACCTAGTTCCTTCTCCCCCTGCATAGCCCACAGAGAGACCAGACACGTGTTACAGAACTCAGGCCAAGTCACTCAGCAAGGCTGGCTGGGAAAAAGGCTGATCGCTGACAGGTGAAGTTCAAGGCCTTAGAATTTCAAATCTGAAACCTGCCCTTTGTTCTTGTAATTGCCATCAGCTTCCCATTTTGGGCACAGCCTTTGTATATTGAAGGTGCTCCCTTTTATTAAATCCCAGAATTTCTTTGTAATAGATTAACTTACGTAATTTTCTTAAGAGGCAAAAAGGCAAGCTTCACTATGGCTGATCATCAAGGTAATGTGCATCAATGGCTATGTGCAGAGCTTTTGCTGCCTTTTAGATTTAGGCTGAATAACCTGCTACAAACCAATACTTAACCTAGAAATCCCCAGGTCTCTGCATATGAACTTCCACCTCAACCAACAGCTTGCAGATCTGTGGATGGACTCTGTGCTGCCCTCTTGCTCACTGCAGAGCCTGCTCATCTAACTGGGCTTTTAGCCTAAGAGTTGATAGGAAAAAATGGCTGCACAAACACAGTACTGCCAGAAGACATTGGCTTTCACTCGTGTAATACAAAAGATGTGGCCCAGATTTATATGCAGAATCTCCCCCAGGCACCTGCACCTCACCAAGGTATTCACATCAAAATGTTTCCTTTGCCCTCTGCAGAGCTGGCAGGAGAGACACAGGCACCCCACATCCCTGCAGGGTGTTGGCCATTTCAAACCTGCACCAGTCAACCTGAGCTGCCTCTGCAACCCATGAAGAGACACAGGGACCTCCAGAGAGTGATTCAGACCTTGTGTACCTCTGAGGTTGAATCCTGGCAGCGAGCACCGTTTGTGACTCCTCCTTACATAATGGGGGGCCGGGGGGAGAATCCAGAAAACTTGAGAAAAATAATACGAAAGGCTGTCTTACAAAACTACAGCTGTTACAGAATTCAGGCTCCCAACTTCACATTGGGGAATGGCTATACTTGAGCAGCATAAATAACAGTTATAATTAAGAGGCAACTTGGATCAATACAATTTTCCGTGTTTATTTTCCTTTTTTCCATGGCAGAGCGATGTTTTTCAAACTGCTTCAATTCTTTAACTTCAATTTCATGCCAAAACCAAGAAAGGACGGGTAGGCATGATCTGACAAACCTCACTGTACTCAAACCCTTCTTCTCCAGCACATATCTTAGTTCAATTTCAGTTTTAATTTCAGTTTTAACTAGAAGGTACAAAATTTCACATTTAAAATGGAAACACACTCTTACCTGTACTTATAAAAAGAGGAGCTAGAAAGAGACAGGTTAATACTCAGTTTGGGAGCATTTTGTTCACCCAGACTGAATTCTCAATGTTACGCCTTATTATCTTGGTCTTTAAAAATTTTTTTTATGACCCATTTTAGATATGCTAGTTTCAGCACTAACAGACGTTTACTGATGTTGATGGGCTTCTGGTGTTTTTTTCCAATTTACATTAAACTACCCAGGAGGTCCTTTAATACTAACCACAGCCAGGAAGCCCCATTAACTTGACCAAACTATGCCTTCTACAGCTTGACGCACCCTCCTTTTCATGTGGCTTTTATTTTCTGTTGGCTCTGCCCTCTTCTCTGACTCATTGCTGGCTGTACTGTCATATTATCCCACACGCTCATTCTCTGCAGCTTCAACTTCAATAATCAGCCTATTACCATGGTGTATCCATTTTTTACCTCAGCAAAATACTGATTTCTATCTGACCCTCCCATGCAGAATACCACACCTGCTCTTCAGTGTGAGCCAGTTCCAGGTGATGCTTCCAACGCCCTAAAAAACCCCCCTTGGTGTATGATTGTTCTGTCATTTCATTCCTCTCTCTTCTTTGGATTCTTTGTTTTATTGTCACTATAAAATTTATACACCAAAACCAATCTTTGCCCTCTCTCCTACACTTAATTTTTTCATCCTGGAGAACTAGAACAATCCTTTCTGTATCCCTCAAATTATACCCTCAACTTCCACCTGTATGGTATTTTCTGCTGAACTAAAGCATCCAGTCCCAGGGACCCCCTATACCTACCATCCTGTGCTGTAGAAGCTTGTAGCTTCTAACAAAAACATCTGAATGCTTTCTCTTTTCCACCCTTTCTCAGGAACTTCATCAACCGGTCAGAAAGACCGTAACCCTTTTCCTGCCATCCCCTGCCCTCTTGTATAGAGACAGATAATGACTTGATAACACAGGTATTTCCCCAATTATTTGAAATATGCATTACTGTTAAAAGAGGAAGAAGGTAACTGGTGAGCTTTGAAAAAAAAAATGCAACTTAGATTTACT